GATATTTCAGAAAAAAACTTATGTGTATACGAGAACTGTATTTCGATGATTCGTTGCCGATCCAAAACGCCAAAAAATATACGCGTATTTAAACAACAATAACAAATGTGCATATAATTTGCAGTCAGTGACGATTTTGACGGGATTGCGTTGACGATTTACCGCGGTGTTGCAGTTTAATCAACTTATCCCAGTAAATATATGTATTGCCGTTCAGGAAAACAATACGAAAAGAACAACAGACTTTTTCGATATTTTCTTTGTCACAATCTCAAGTGTCGTATATATATATTTTTCACAGCCCCCAGGTACTGCCGCGCGCGTAAACCATCCATATAGATAGTATATAATATTATTTTACGTATATACGAGTACATTATTATTACTCGTATTAACATTATTATAATATTTCATTCGGCGACCGGTGACGATGACGACGACAGCGCGGTGGTGGTTGATTTACGATCGGTCCTGCTCTTCCAGTCTGTATTAATAATATAATGACGTTTTAATGACGACGATCGGTGGTGCTAAGCCCTCGAATACTTACGCGCATCACAATATATAACGGCGTGCGCCATAATCATTATTATCATTGCGATGCCGATAGAACAATGATACTGAGCTGTAGCTATTATTTGTTATTATATTATATATATATCGTGTGCGGCGGCGTTTTTTTAGTACACGGGCGAGAACGACCTGCCTATGTGTGTACCTACATGTGCGCTCGAAAAATAGTTCTATTATATTATAAGCGCGCGTGCATTATGCTATTATACGTCTTATTGTGGTGGGGTACCTAGCGCGTTCCTTTTATTGAAAAAATAAAAACCACGCCAATCAGATCGAGGTGTGCGTTCGTACAATAAAACGTTCGTGTATTGTACCTATACGACTGATGTACGAGTATATAATATAATATAATATAATATAATATAATAAACACGCCGTAATACGGCCGCGCACGAACATCCGCCGCCGCCACCACGATAATAATAATAATTGTCCGTTATTAATCAGAGTATTGAATTTTACGACGCGTACATAATGCTGTTAGTGCGTGCGTGTGTCATATGATATTACGACTCCCGCCGTCGCCCCCGTCGCTACCGCGGTTAGCGTGACGCGTATATATATATTATTGTACATACCGTAATATTGTTTAGTGTAGATAGACCTTTGACCACTACAACTTCCACTCGGGTCCCCTTGTAAAGATATATAATATATACCACGCTGAACGCGTAATTAACGATATTATTATATTTATTATTCGATATAGAGTCTGTGCGTCTGTGTATTTCTAAAGGACCAGACGGCGGGTCATATCCTTTAATTTGCAAAGTCATAATATTACGTACGTCATACGACTGCATTTGCAGAACCGTTACCGGTGCATCTATACATGTGTCGCGGTCTATACACCGGCGGGTGCAGCGGTCATTGCATCGCGCTGCACGCGGTTTCATACTTTATAATAAAGCGTGTACACTGTACACTGTACACTGTACGTATATAGTTAGTTTCGACCCGTCTGATTAACGCGTATTATGCAAAACTAAGTGTACATAATATACATATTACAACAAACCTCGTTAATTGAGAAACCCGACTGAAAGTTATAATTCCATAGTTTTGTTTTCCGGATTAATTCGGAAATTTTGCAGCTACTTATCTACATATGTCTAGAATACTATACATCGTATAATATGTTTATTTCCCATGCATTACATTCTTTAACTAATAGATTCCAATTTCGAAAATATTATATCTGCATTGTATTCCTTTGTGTAGGTTTGTTTGCAGGCTTCAAATATACGTGTATAGGAGTATATGTATATAGTATTCATGCTTTATATAGGTAATATGGATATCCGTTCGGTGTCTGTGCAAATATAATAGAAAAATTTTATTTTAACTTTTCATCCTTATTTTCTTTGAATTCAATATTATACAATACGAGATTTTATCAAATCTAATGTAATTCGTATCCGTATTCGGCTATATACATAAAAGTCTATATTTTCTGTACAAATTTACGATTGATTTTTTAAATTTTATTTTGGCGCTCTAATACTAAATTTGACACGTGAATGGCGCGAAAAAGGAGAGGCCTACAGCCACTGTTTGGTCACCTGAACATGAATTATTAAGTTGTTATTACACCGTTTTTTGTTTTGATTTTGTTAAATGCTGAGTAAGTCTCTAGGGTCTATAGAGTCTTGGCCGCCACATACGTACAGTTTTAGGAGTCGTCTTGGATTGAGACATAGTTTTTTTTAAGCACTATTTGGAAAAGTTAATTTACATTATTAGTGATTTCGTTGACATTCCATACTAGTAGGTATGTATGATTAAGGATGTTAATATTATTTAACATGGTTGACTTATTTATGTAATCGCGTTCGGCTAAATTTTATCGTAGCATAATACTATTAACATAATAAATTAATTCTAAGGTAATTAATTTTATTTTTATTATTCACAATAATCTGCACTGAATATGTTTTTCTCTATATTTTTCTTAATTAAGCAAATACTACCGTGTTGCAGCTGACGTTTATATTATTCAGTTTTTACTTGTTGTGTATATACCTCTACTAAATATTAAATTTTATTTATATAAAGTGCGGTTACTTGCTGCACCTGTATTATTATTAATTTACAAAAAGCAAAAAGTAAAGCGTATATTTTAAGTAAAAATGAAAATCGTATTTTTTTTCCTTCTTTTGTAATCTCGCTTATAATGGACGGCGCATAAAACTTTGTTAATCGATAAACGGCGTTCTTATAATAATATACATTCTCGTTGGCCAAGTTTTGAACATAAATAAAATAAAAATGTACTGTATATTATAATAATATTGTATTTGGCAACTTTTATAGAAAAAAAAAATCCTAATACAATCGATTGTTTTTCAATAGAAGTCCAATGCATTTACTGATATATCTGGTCGAGTTTTTTTCCCACATAATAATGCATATACTATATAATATTATAATGGTTTGCGAAATTATCGTAATAAATTCACATTATTGTTAGACGGCGATAGCGCAGCGGCGGGATATCTGTAGTCTTATTTATTTTTACATATTTATTTTACGATCACTGTACGTATATTATATTGTATTTAAATCCCCCGAGTATAATCCCGCGTATAATATATATTTGTATATTATTTGTCTCCATCGTTTTCGTTTAATGGTTATTATGTATTATTATAATCATATTTACAAGGATGATTTCTAAAACCCGACGGCGATGTCCAGTTCGTCGTCATAATCACCACCACTGTCGGCTATTCAAATTTCCGAATCGTAATGCGAGGGGCTGTGCTCATTATAAGTTTTCATTGATCCCAAAACTATTGGTTGTGCCACCGCATCGACTTACGACCACGTTTGTTAAATCACTGTGTGTTTCTGCAAAGTCGCCTACAAACTCAAAGCTCATGATTTCTATTGTATCCCTGTAAAATATTATCATTGTAAAGACCGCATTATTATCGAGTCATTATGTTATGTGTTTTGTAGTTTTCACGTTTTTAATGGCCAAAAATAAATGACAATACTGCACAGTGCACACAATTCTCAATTCTATATTTTTTTATTAATATATCAGCTAGAAACCCAATGCCATCTACGTAAAAAAATCTTTATTTATATGTATATATCGCAACCCGATTAAAGTAAAAACTAAACACTTATTTTAGCTGAAATTTGCACTTATACAAAAACAGAACAGCTAGTGTATAGTTCAGAATTGACAAATCGGCTACTCTATTTTATTTAAATTGAACGTAAATTGTGTTGCTTTTAACGGTGATGGTGGTTACAATTTATTTGTTATCGTTATTTCAATATAGAGTGCATATGAAAATATAATATTAATAATAAATCGTATAACATAAAGCTCTCTACTCCGAATAGACAATATTGTTATTCGTTCGCTACTATTGTCTGCCGTGCCCTAAATCAATTTGTATTCATTTATTCTAAAAAAATCTTTGTATTTATAGTAAAAAATAATAGTATTGGTACCTACGCACGAATAGTAAACTTTCGAATCCATATTTCCGTCGGTCGAACCATTCTGTTTATATTATGTGCGGAAGGGGGGGGGGGGTCGGATGACGGGACACCCGGCTCTATCGGACATTTATAAATACATATATATATATATATATATATATATGTATTATGTATATAGGTATTGTATATATTAGGTGAATTTATCATTTGGCCGTGACAAATATTATTATAATATCGTCTCCCGTGCAAATCTCCGTGGAAATATTTCACACGTGCCGCGATTTTGCTCACCCGTAATCCTGGCTACACTTTGCGCCGGTTTATTGTTTTTATTATTATTTTTAGATCTTTCTTGTAACAGCAGTTTTTACGTGATAATTTCTCGTGAAATTTTTCACGCGTATATCATTTAAGATACTACTACGCATAAATCAGCTGATTACATATTATAATATAATTTAATGATTATTAGTAAAAACACTCTTAAGAAAACCGTGTATGATAACAATAGCGAATGTAATAAAATATAAAATAATATTTAACGCACAAGAAAAGTGATAAATACTAAATTCAGTATTTTTTGTCTCTCAACTCCCCCCCTTCTCACCTTTTAATTTTAATATTTGTTAATATTATAATATTATATAGTTAATTTGTATGTTATATAATTGTATAGTTATAGTATTCCGGTATTTACAACTATTGTATAATACCTATTATATCAAAATATGCGGTGTCACAGTATATTTTTAATATTTTATAAGTGTACTGAAATGTTTTAATGTGTATGTAACGATGGGTTTATTATTCGAACACCAATACGACCGGAACCGTGAAACCCGATCTGCTATCAGCAGGGTTCTTTCCACCTCCCATGTATTGAATTATGTGCTCATGAGGTCATCGTTTGTAAATTTATTTTATTATTAAAATTATTATCATTATTGTTTTCTTTTTTTTTTCAGCTCAATGCATGTCGGCACTCGGCATGCAGTCCGGAATGATAAAAGACGAAGATTTAACCGCTAGTTCTTCTTTCGAAATTGGAAACGTTGGACCACAGAATGCCAGGTGAGAGCCGTTTTTAAAAACAACGCGCGTTACACAATATTTCTCACGCCCCGTTTGCACGCGAAACGCGTACAAAAGGGTATTTTTTTCTTCATATTACAACAATGCGTATTTTGGGGTTACACTATACGCGTTATTATATGTTGACTGTTGGACGTGACAAAATGTTTATGGTACAATTTCTACTACGAATATTATCCGCGAAATGGTTGTTTTCCTTATTCTATGAAAGATTCGTGCATTTTATGCTCTATATTACGAGTATACCGTAAACTTTGAGTTTACGGCGTTTTGGGGAATTTTTTTTTTTAAAATAGGTGACACCTATACGAAATTGTTTCCATTCTAGCATAAATCCTTCTACTTCCGATGGAATGGCTATAGGGAAAAAAACAATTTTGCACCCTCTTGCAGATATGTTCATTTCACCTACCCTCTTCTTTTATTGTCGTCGTTCTAACACGTGACAAAAGTATACCTCCAGGCTACCATTTAAAGACCCTCAAGATACTTTCAATACGTCGATAAAAGCTTAGGTGGTTTAGTTTCCCAGCAGCTTAAAACATTTTTATTTTTTAGTATTTTATGTGGAAATTACTACGCTTAAAGTATATATTATCCGCGTGGTGTGCAAAAATAAATTAGCGAGCATTTTTTTTTTACACGTTTTAAAATATATTTTACATTTATTTTTTACATTTTATTAAAATATGTATTATGTGTATTTTATAATTTTATTATGCAAAAATATATTCAAAGAATTTCTTCGAAATCGAAATGAATATTTTTTCTTTTTATTTAAAAGAATAAAATATTGCTTTAGTTAATGTATCGTTATTTTTCCTAAAACATATATTTCGTTACTTTGTTTTGATTGGAAAATGTGTAGTATCCCGCTTAATACATATAGGTATTCTAACTGAACTTCCTTTCTCTGGCATGTTTGCAATATATATATATTCTGTATGCATACATATATATTAAGCAAGTTATTGGTGGTTAGAGAAGGATTGGTGTGAACAAAATGGAACCCAAAGCTTTGTGCTCTTGGTATGGATTTAATAAATGAGAGGGTCAGAATCCCTTGTTTTGAACTCTGACCACTAGTGCCCGAGGAACTCGTTAATTGGAACTTGCGTGTGACGTTTCAATTTGTTTTCATACGTTGAATTAAAGATGGATTAAAAGTTGTATGGTTAGATTTTTCTACGTGAGTGTATTATTATATATTAGAGTAAACTATAAATGAGAATTAAATGTAATGGACTGATTCAAAAACACAATAAGTTCCTACTTCCTAAACCCATAAACTATATATAGCAGTATAGAATTTCTGACTTAGCAATGTGTGAAAGTATATAAATTAAACGTCACTGCCAAGTTTCTATATAACTGTGAATATGTATTTTTATATACAATGACGTTTTATCCAATGTTAAAATATGAATAATTATATTATTGTTCTATGCATTAGTTTACTTGATATAGGTGTAAACGGGTTAAATAATTGCCAGTGAAATATGTTAAATATGTTACTTTAAAAGTATTTGCTATATTATTATTGTTGAGTTTAACTCAAAATACATTTATATAAACTATATTTTCAATAGGAATATTATCAGTTATAAGTCTTATAACTAATAATTATACAATTTTGTTGCATTATTTTTAAATTTTTTTGTCCGTTTTGTATTTTGATTTTGTTCAAAAATATTTAATTAAATAATACTATCATAATTATGTTTTATGCTTTTAAAAGTTTTTTTAAGATACGCCCTAATATTAAGCATTATTAATAGTAGATATGCAATGAATAATATAATATCAAAACACACAATGCATAATTATAACTTAAACGTGACATATTTGACTCAAATTTTAATCAAAAAGCGTAAAGTATGTAAAGTGAATCCTTTTTTATCATTTTGTTAATATTTGCTTTGTTTAAGTTGTGACTTTTGTAACCCTTGAAATTTGTGTATAAGTGAGTGAGTGACATCAAAGAAAAACTTTACTATGAATGGCAATCAGAGATAACCAAATATTTTAAACAGATAATATAATGCATGTTTGTAGTTAATGCTTATTTAACAAGACTTTTTTTTAAACATTTTAATCCAGTTTAAAACAATAAATTATAAAAACAAAACGAAAACAATTTTATTTTTTTTAAATGGTTTTTTTTCATTTGAATATGGTTTTTAATGTGAGCGCACCGCAGTTTTAAAATAAAATATTTTATCCAAGTGTTTCAGATATGATGTGACATAGGCTTTTTCTTTGCAATTGTGTCCCCTAGAATGAAAATATTTCAGTTTGCTTTGCCATCGGCTTGTCTGATTTATTTTTATCGCAATTCTTTCAGTATATATATACATTATTGAGTATGAAAAAACTCAATATTTTCTGGTTACCCGTAGGCGTCGTGCACATATAGAGTGGCAGTAGCGAAAAGTTTCGTCTAATGAATATTAATGGTCGTTACCAGTTATCTATATAGAACAAGACCGGTAGAAAAATAAAATAAGAAAAAGGTTTCTTTCTGGTGTATTTTTTACTTTTATTTATTTATTTATTTATTTATTTATTTTTTGGTCGAATTACGACTTCAAGACAGAGAAAGCTAGTTTTATCGATACGAACTTTATATTTTTATTCTAACGATCTTTTTCGAATACAAGAGGTTTTGCTTTGCGACGTCATGAGTAAGACAATCAATCAAAACACTAGAGATTTTTTAGGTCATAATTTTTATATATATTTTTTTAAGAGGAGCTCTACTGAAAGGGTACTTTTTGTGTGCATCTAACAACAATTTATCTTCGATTATCGCCTGTTGACGTTTTGGTCACTTTTTACTAACATCATTATTTGAGAACATGAAACAAAAATAAAATATTGAATCACAGTTACCTGATGGGTTTGATTATACTATGTTCTGTGTACATCAGTGCTGTGTTAGCAATACTGAAAACTATTTTGTCGTTTTTGAGAAATTTTGTTTTTATCAATTTGTATATAACGCATAGGTGTAAATATTGGTACCTACCAATTTGTATTCCCCTTTTTCGTGTATTTTGTATTTGCTTCAAGGAAACGCTCCGTTTGCAGAGTAAATAAGACAAAATGTAGCATCGGCAAGTAAAAGAATAAAATAAATATTTCCTGTGCCCGTGATTTCGAAGAGAGATGAAAGTAAAAAGTTAAAGATTACGGCACGCGGCGGATGGATAAAAATATGTCTGAGAAACTTTCTTAGCCACATATATATACTCGTGCAGGATATATACTTAAACTTGCTACTTTTATTTTATTTATTTTTTCCACCACCATGGGAATACCATGCGTTGACCGCGTTAGCAAAAATGAGAAAAAACATCTGGGAAAAAATCTGCCAGGAACGAATATAAAAATAAATATAAAACTTTTCGCCGTGTGGGTATATATTGTAATATCGCGTGACGAACATGCGGGTATGTATAGGTATACAATATAATATAATTTAATAATAAAATAGTTTGTGATATAAACCTTGTTAAATTTGTTCTTCCGGCAACAGAAAAGCTCTATCATGAGTCGTGACACATCTCTCCGATTGCGATTAAACACATTTTTCGCGGTGATCGTGTGCAACGCACCAGATCAAAAACCTAACCCTCGCGTCCACACACAAAACTGCATACAGGGCATAAATACACTCTGCGGCTTTCGGCGATCGTTTTCCTACATTGAAAGTCCGATTGAATTTGTACCCAATGGGTTTTCATGATTACAATTGTGGTAATGAACCCCGGTCACGTTTGATCCGCAGGCATTATCCCAGGACAACAATTCGTTTAGCCGAATATCGGCTGGGTCAATGCTTACGAGTGTCCAGATTTCTCTCCGTTTCTCGGGATTTCTGTAAGGAAAAAAATAAAAGTTCACCGAGTATAATAAATCACTCAATATTATATTACGATTTATAACTAGAAGTGGTAATATCCCATGGAGCGCTCAATGAATAAATAGCCCAATAAAAGTGCGATCAATTGTACAGTAATTTATATTATAAATGATGTAAAATACTGTATTTTCAAAATTTCATAGAGATATTCAATATAAGAGTTATTCTAAATGTGTTACATTTAATGACATTTGTCAAGTGTAGATACATTTTCCTAGTCAAAATGTTTATTTCGACTTAAATTTTATTTTTGCCATTTTTAAGTCGGTACCAAGTTGTTAGATACCTATTACTATTTTATTAAATTTTCATATAATATGTATAGATAGGTACTGATCTATTTGATTTTCAATTTATAACATATTAAACTTATTACATCATGCGTAATCTAAATCGACTAAATCATTTATTTATTGTAAAGCAAAAAAAAAATTGTTTCATAAAATATTTAAATTGATGTGTTTTCCGAAGTTTTATACATTTTATCTATATACATCATTCTGAAAAATACAATTTCATTCTTGGAATTATTTTTGTTTGTACAAAATGTAGATTTAATGGATTTCGATAAATTATTTACGATCCATTTGCAAATATTGAAATATGTACTTTTTTTTATCAATTGTTTAGACTAGATCTGTGGAAATCTACACTCCGAAACATTAAGTTGAACTATCGTTCAATTCGATTTCATGGTGTTTTCTGTAATGGTATATCGGTGTTATAGGTTGTAAATAGATTGTATATGATATCCACGATTGTCAACATACTTTATGCACCGGTATAAAAAAAAAAAAAAAAAAAACAATGGTACGTATAACAGAAATAGGGTAACTATTTAGGAGACCGCATAAAATATTTCAAAAAATAATGTATACTATAGTAATTCGATAAAATTTTATGTTATATAACGTATAGATTATAAAGTCTATGGATATAAAAGTTTACATTTTTGATAGTTTTCTTAAATCATATATTTTTTTTTATTTTTTCTTTACTTAACAAAACAGACATTTTATAAATTACAATTTCGATTAACCTTCTGCCTTTAAAC